ACCTGACAGATAAGAACAGCGATATATTCTTCCACAATCCTGAGAAACAGAAGCTGCAATCTATCAGGTCCCGCGGAAGATTTTGGATCTAGCTCTCACAAAAGTTAACCACCATATTAGCGTCGATGTCGATGGCACCAATAACAAAGAGGAAAGACGAACAACCATCCACTGACCATAGCCCTGTTGAACAGATCGCTGAATATTGGTAAATCAGTAGACTAGCTTTTTCAGCATCGTCTTGAAGCAAGGTGTTAAGAGCGTGGGAACACTAGAACGTCATTCAAGTTCCCGCTCCGGTGCCCTTTTTCAGGTATGAGAAGAAGAGCTTCGATGAGGTCTTGTACTGTTCGGCTAAGTGAATTTCTTATTGCTGCCGTTTCGCACCCTTTTTGTATGTACCAACTTTCCGAACCATTTTATAATTCGCATAGTCAGTTTCCAATCTCAGAAGCCTATAACGGTTCCAAAGTTTACATCATCGGTCCATGATTGATGTTAATCCCCTGTCAATCCAAAGGGACTTCTAGTGAATTATGTTCGTTTGGATATTGGCACAACTTCAACAATAAGGGACATTTTGAATAAATAAGACTCCAAGCATTATCGACGTCTAACGGGTGGGGGAAGGCTCCAATCCTGCTCGGTAGCGGCCATCTTCAATAGGTTTGCATCAGCACGCCAGTTATTCCGCGATGGACACAGTGCTTGTGAACGCTAAACTGTGTGGTTCAACGAAAAGAAATTAGGCGATGATCCCTCTCCCCTATTGTCAGTAACCTGTTCAAATCAGAAACGTGTATTTGTACATGAGAAAGCACAAGGTCGCGTATATGCGGCCTCTGACCAGTGAGAATGCCATAAGGTGTCGTAAATTACTCAAAGCAATTGCCTTCAAGTATGGCTTCTAGAAACGTAGAATCGAACGAGTCAGGTGAAGCATCACAGTGAAGAACATCTCAATCAATATTAGGGGCATTAAAGTCCCCCACTAATAAGCAATCCTATTTCCACCGTGCCCTTTTGGAGACTACGGTAAACCAACAGTAGCATGCAAGGGAACTCTGTAGAAGACACCGATAAGGAGCGATCTACATCCAACTTGAATACGGCACCAAAGCATTTCGGAGCAATCACCACTTCCCAATACAACATCAGCTAAATGAGCCTTCAGATTCACTTTCCGATAAAGTATGACGCCGCCACCCGACCTCACACCAATGCGATCAGCTCGTGAGAGATTGTAACCAGAAATACCTACTTCGTAATCTGGGATTTCTGGGGACAACCTGTTTCCGTAAACGCCATAAGGTTCGGGAGGATTACTGAGGCAAGATACGCAACTTACTTCAGTTTGTTATGTAGACTGCGCACTTTCGCAAGGCTACGCGCAATCCAGTTGTTGGTCTTAATGTTCAGGAATGACAAGGACTAGTTTCCAGCGTGCTCTCTGTAGTATCCGAACCATGGGAAAATCCTTATTACGCAACTCGGTTTCACCGTTCGTAAAGTGGGTTCATAATTCATCAACTGCGATCCTCATTTTAACGCCGTTCTCTGGGAATAGATTATGTAACACGTGAAACGGTTCTCGTTTGATGAGCGAAGTCCTCCGAAAGATCCGACGACATTCATCTTCATTCTGGAATGCAGTCATAAGGGGGCATCTCGTAGGAATCTTCTTGTTATTTTGCAAGACCAAAAGCAGAAATGCTATTGTTCCTTGGTTACCTTTCATCAAATATATGGTCATTCGGTCTAGAAAGAACTGACCATCTAAAATTCTCTCTCCTGCTGTTGTTTTAACCGACTCCAAGGAGCCAACTAGGATGAGATTAAGTTCTCGCTTGGGGTTTGGTGACCTCGGAGATCTGGGTCTTAGAAGGGGGTTTGTCCATGAGCAGTTTCTCCAAATGGACGATCCTATAAAGAACTGATTTCAGCCCGTTCTTTTGTAGTGAGGCTTTATCTTCTATCATCTTAGCTATAGACTTATGCACAAAATGATTCTGGCTTGCGGGGTTTGCTACCGTGTCCTCCTTGACGACTAAGGCAAACGTCTTGGGCAGGGGCTTCCAGGACTGGTCACTAGACGTTGGTGACACCGAGAGTGGCACGGATGGAGCAGCAATGAGTTTACCAACTGGCGTGACAACAAAAGAAGATTACAGAGAAGGAGAATTACAAAATCCAGTTTTGGAAAACAGAACGTTGTGGAACAAATTGACCGGGAGCGGAGTAAAGTCAATTCAAGTCAAGTCCAAAACTGCATTACACACTTTTGGCGGTTGAATACTCAACCAGGAGTAAAAGCAGATAAACCAGGCTGAGTACGCGGATTGCTAACTAAAGTAAGACAGGAATCACAAAACCTACCAAAAGAGGAAGATGCAGGCAGCTGAAGATACGCCATGACAATTGACAAGCAAGGAACCGTCGCAGAAAGAATAATGAACTGCCTCTGAATGGGATGTGACACATTTAACAAAAGCTGAACACCTGGACATCATGATGATCGATATACCAGCAGAAAAGCTTCCGAATATGTTAAGACTTTCGAGCCCTTTTGGATCCCAAAATACTGACAAAAGCTAACTTTTATTTTCAGTGTTACTCAAATATTGATCGCACTCAAAGCTTCCAGGAAAAATACCCGGAAGTTAAGACAAGATAAGCACTCTCAAAGAACGCAGATTGGATCCGGACGGCTACGGATCATCGGGCTTGGCTCCATTCATCGCATATAAATAGGTATGGTTGTTTATCAGGATGTATTTAACCGTTGTAGAATTTAAACCATTGCAGTTATATATCGGATCCTCTTAGTTTTGTTGGTTTCTGTTGTACACGCTGTCACGAGCTATATTGGAAACCTTTGGTAGCTATACTCCGGAGTATAACGGCATACAGCAGTGCATGTGTGCCTCACGTTCCATACCATCTGTGATTATTCTGAACGATGTTAATTGTATTACACTAGGGAGAACGTCCGAATAATAGTATAGGTGAGGAAGAGCAGGTTTGTGGAAAAATTAGGAGCGGGATGTCCACCCATCATTGAGGTTGCAGTTCAACAGATGTATGATGAGGAATGAGGCCAAATAAAAGAGAATTTCGTGGGCATGACCACGGTAAGGTGTAGTGATGATCAAAATTCCTGGCAGTTCGGCTGTCCGTGATGACAGGGATAACTCTAACATGAGGTTAAGTTTTAGTTCAGGTCAAATGAATATAAAGCAGTGAAAATCAAGATGATAATAATGTCCAACAAAGGATCTGGCTTCTCATTCTTCCAATCTGCCAGTGTTATCGTTAGCGGAAAGCGAGTGTACAAGTCTGATAAATCTTGGGTCATGATGAGGGCCAAAATGAGGTGAAGTAGAGTGACAAAAGCCTGGGTCACATTTGTGGCTTCCCCAGAGATATACTTAACCAGCTAGCTGGAATGTTCTGAATGTTATGTTTCATTATCTGGCTGAAACACAGGGACTCTCTTCTCATTGGTTGTGTAACATCCAGGCGGTTACAACTGATTCTTCTGTGTTGAGTCTGGAACCTCCTGATTGAGTATGGCTACACACCCTGCTTTGTCTGTTTCTTTCTTGATACGACATTTGGTATAGCGAGAGAAACACTAATTTTTATGGCCACAAATGGCATCTAGCCTTAAGGCATTTGTGATGGACTGTAGCGCTTATCACCAAGCCGAGGAAAGCTCTCTGCTAGTCGAAGCCCCAATACGGCCTATTACTGACCTCATGAAGCCGTGGGCTAAGATCACCGTTTATAGTAAGGGTCTTTTGCCACCGATTCAACGAATAAGAGAACTCTACCTGTAGCCACAAGTTTTTAAAGTAAGTGGCCTGAAGTCTGTATATGCGACCAAGTGACTACCAAGAGGGGCCAGACAGTATCCAATGAGTAAAAATGTTTCCGCACTGTGTGACACATCCCTAGTGCTGTTACCGTCCACTATTCCAACTATTGCCCGTTTCGTTGAAACATACCTGTGAGTTAATACAAACCCTTGAAACAACAAAATCATTGAAAATCACATAACTGTTTACCATTCATGCATGAGCAATGGATATTCTGTGAACTATGATCGGTGCCAAATATGGCCGCATTTGCTCACTCGATGTGAACTATACCGCTTAGTATTAGTATTATGATTAGTATTAGTATTGATATCAGTATTACTAGTATTATTGTTCTTCCTGATTCGGGGTAGGTTTCCTGCTTGTTTGGCGCTCTTCTTCACGGGTCGTCACAAGATTGCATCCTGCCGGCCCAACTTAGACTTTTGACTGAAGTTTTACAAAATTTGGTCGGAAAACATTTTGCATGCCAGCTAATATGAGCTCTTACCTTAATTCGATCACTAGCCGTCTATTGAGGTTTACCCACAGTGGTTCGTCTCGCACGTTTTACAATGTAATAAAGAAAAGTGGTGTTTGCACGACAGTGAGGAACGAACAATGAGAAGCCGTCACAGTTGAATAGCGTCTTAAATATTTGCACAGTATAAATGATTCTACGCTTTATGAATAGCAGATGTATACGGATATCCAAGCTTCGCTTTGACTCTTCGAGAGCAACTGGACACCATGGGTGCAGAGATTGCTTCCTTGAAACGATGTTCATAACATACCAGCTGGAGACACCTGCAGTTGTTAATGGTGCTTTATATTTTCTTTTGCATACAACAGTGCGAGGTGTTCCACATATCTGTGAGTTTGTATGGCATTAACCATTTGGCCTGTATGTTTATCATATAACTGGAACTGGAAAATATCCCGTGCTTATTTCTATCATCTTAGGTCACGTAAGAAGACTGTAGCATCTAGATGCACGGTAATATTTGCAGTATAAAAGTTGTAATAGATTTTTTGATTGAAAATAAAACAAAGGTTGTATATATACACGTATATATTTTAAGAAATTAGCCCGCCACTGCATAACCTTCCCATTAAATTCAAATTTTCCTCATGTTTGCTCAGATGCTGATACCTACATTGTGGTTGATCGAAACAAGACGGAAATTTGCAGACTTTTCCTAGACCGTGTAAGTTCACTTTCGTAGTTGTTACTGAGAAATGAGTTGGGGCAACAATTTTCTGCCACCCCGGTTGAATTAAATGACGGTAACAAATGCAGATGAGATATTTCGACATTTCATTAGCAAGCATATTTTTATTATTGGCATATGGTAGGCAATCAAAACTTGTCAAACCGCCCCAAATGGTAAACGATTCTAGTTGCCCCCAAAAGCGAGTTTCATAGATCAGCTCAGATTGCTGTCTGATAAATACGGACGAGTCTGTTGATTATCACCAAGAAAAATATGTTAACAGGACAGCGTGGTATAAGGAGATTCTCATGTTGCATTCAAGAATTCCTGAGAGAAATTTCCTGTGTACCTTTACGAATGTTAGTCCCATGTGCCTAAATTAGTTATAAATGCCATTTTGAGGAGCGGAGGGAAATTTCCAGGTTAAAAGAAAGCACAGATGTAAGGTACAGTACCCCAGCCGGACGAGTTATCAAACACTGTAGCAACACCAAAGTGAGGGCGCACTCCAGCGAGGAAATTCTCCGAAGAGCAGGAAGCATCCCTATCCGACAGCGAGTTAATACAGATGGATATGATGTACTAATATACGAGAACAGTATGGAGATAGAGTCAATTATAGAAGAATATTCGATTTACAAATATCTCCAGTTACCTATGGCACCGATGCTAAGTGAATACATTTACATTTACTCTCCTGGACATATTTTTATTTGGGCACACTACTTGCAGAGTGAAAAAGGTACTACTGTCTTCAGGGCTAATACTTCCGACAGCAACAGTACAACATTGATGGATATTAGTACAACCTGCTCGATTTTCTGAGGCAACTGGTTCACACAATTTAGTCCAGGAATGTGGAACCTGAGATGGGTGTTGTTGATCTTATAGTTTGTTTTATTGGGTGTTCGGAATTTTTAGGCGGGGTCTTAACTTTGGCCGCTGCCGCTCTCCCCCCAAAGCATCCTTTTCGCGCCATCTACTGCAGATGTATTAATTTTATTTGGATCTTTTGACGAATTCTTCGGCTGGACAATTGGAAGATCACTGAGGTCGCTTAACTACAGTGATTCTTTGAAAAAGTATCCGAGACACCATGCAAAATTTGCGGTTCGTTGATTTTATCCAGTTGGCACGAGTAACCAATAAAATTGTTAACAAATGTTGGTTTCGTCAACTGGAAGAATCTTACATTTTGTTCAATCAATGTGCAGTCGTTGCTCAAAGATTCGAGACCGTTTACTTAAGTGACATCTGTGCACTCTTTACTCATACTGTTTATTCAATGGTAAAATTCTCCTGTACTGGTGTTGCTTAAATCAGATTTGTGCTAAATGGTGTTAGCTGCTGAAAATGCATCCATCGGAGTGCATAAAGCTTTTCTTGACTTGACTTGACGACTGACTTATTGCGCTTCGAGGTACAGACACGGCAGTTGAATGTTCAACTCTAAACCGAGTTGGTGCCTACCAATGCCGGTAAAATTTCTTAGTGAATCAGCTGGACGTCTTGGCTAATGCATTCATGCGAAGTATTCAGGGCCAAAATTTTGGCCGTCATATTTTTCATTCTTGTAAGATGGTGCGTTTTCATCTGCTCACTTGCGCTTTGGGCTACGGTCCGATAGCATTCATAAGCATTTAAGATGTATCCGATGATATATCCCATGAATCACAAGCCTCCACAGCGCAGGTGGAGGATATGGTCTAAGGGATAGACTAACCTCATGAAGGATGGTTGGATAAGCCAAATAAAAGCCGTGGTAAGCCGTACCGCGACACCGCACGTCATAACACAGCTGCTTCCATTTGTCTTCCAGCCTAGGCTGATGACGTCCAGTGAAGCTGTGCAAATTAGTCATGCTAGCCGCGTTCATTTGCACCATAAGCCCGTCACTTTGTTTATGGAATTGCATTGTTGGCACCGTTTTAATGAATAGTAAACGGATTCCTGCATCTTATGGTTCACAAGCGTTGCGTCTGAATCAGAATGAAGTGATATTCGCGCATATAACGCGAAACCCATTAGCGGACGCGAAAACAGTTGCATCTTGACAAATGATATGCGTTCCCTTACAATAACTTATGAAGTAAGCGGCAAGTATAAATACAAAGCGTTTACACTTGTTTGTCATAGACAAGGTAACATGGATGTTTGACTCTACTTAATGGTTTGCTACTAATGGGACTATTGATATGAAAGGGCACAAAGAGCAGGAGCGATTAGTTTTAGGGCAATTAGGAGATCACCTGGTGAGTAGTCTGACAACATGAATAGATACACTTGGGCATCAGTACCGCTGACACACCAAATACTTCCTTTTTAATTTCGAGGAGCGACACAACCGCTGTTGGGCCGGTTGGCACTCAGCAAATATTGCACATTAGAAGTATCATGCTCAGGCCATATTCTTCAAGACGATAAACATTTCAGGCAATTGCACGTGTTCTTCTGAAGAGCGGGCTTGTACTTCAGCTCCATTAAGTTACAAAGACCCCTCAATGCGTAGTTTGTGTTTGCTCTGTACGGACTGTGTAGAGCGGACATTTTTATCTCTTTCATTTTCTTAGTTCTTCTGCTGCATTGCACTGAGCATCAATGCATCATACTCATTCGTTTTCAATAGTTCAATAGTTCAATAGTGTATGGTGGGATAAAAAGCAATAACTTTACAAGACCCACAGGATGGCAAATGGAAGAAAGCAAAAGTTTCAGGTGTGACACAAAAATATCAGTAAGTTATACACTGCAGTTTGTCACACCGTTATATAATGTGTATCATGTAAGTGCAAGTCCAATAGTCTTTCGAATGTCTCGATGTTTGGTGCGTTCACCACATGCGATGGCAGTGCGTTCCAGTGCGGACAGACACTAAGAGAGTAAAAAAAACTTTCTAAAATCTAAACGGGAATATTGAGTCACAAGTTTTAGTGCATGGCCTCGGCATCGTTTGTCGGCAGATAATGTTAACAGCGACTTACATGGATGGTCCTCTTCTCTTAGTATCCGGTAAGTGAGGATCAGATCACCGCGAAGTCGTCGGTATCCTAAGGAGTACAGACCGATCGAACGAAGGCGCAGTTCATAACTAAGGCCCGATAGACCACGTGTTGCCTTAGTGGCTCTTCTTTGTGGTTGCTCCAGGAGACGAATGTCCCGTTTTAACCACGGACGCCATGCCTGCACCGCATACTCGAGGTGGGGACGAATGTAGGCGTTAATCAATAATGGCACGAGTTGCCGCTCGAAGGTACCGAGCGCTCGCCTCAAAAGCCTCAAGTTTAAGTTCGCTATGATAGCTGCCTTTTGAACATTGGAGCGAATTACCCAGACCTTCTTGCACGATGACCCCTAAGTCTCTTTCGTTGCTCACCTGCTTTATAACGCGCTGCCCCAGGTGATATGCGTTGCAGCAGTTGCTGCGCAGCGACAACAGGTGACACTTATCGGGGTTCAGGGGTAGTTGGTTGTTTACTGCCCATTCGTGAATCCGGTTCAAGTCATCCTGCAGATAGACAGGGTCAGATGTTGACTGTATAGCTCGCCACATCTTAGCATCGTCGGCGAATATTTGCATAGGAGATTGAATGTTGGCAGGGAGGTCGTTGATATAGACTAAAAAGAGTAACGGGCCGAGAACTGATCCTTGCGGTACGCCGCTAGTGACGCATAGGCTATCGGAGTGGGTGTTGGCGATCCTTACCTCGATTCTTCTGTCGTATAAGTAACTTTCCAACCATGTGAGCAAGGATCCGTGGATACCATAGGCCGCAAGCTTTCGGAGAAGTGCTGGGTGATTGACTCTGTCGAATGCCTTAGAAAAGTCTAAGTAAATCACATCTACGGGAACTCCCTCGTCAGCAGCCCTGGTCCATGAGTCCCGAGCAAGTAGTAGATTGGTGAGGCAGGATCGTCCGCGTCTGAATCCATGTTGGAGGTTGGAGATGATTTGTAGACTTTCAAAATATCTTACCATTTCATCAGCGACTATAGACTCCATCACTTTTGATAGAACAGGAAGGAGAGTAATAGGTCGGTAGTTGGCAGGGTCTGATCGCTTACCTCCCTTGTATATCGGAGTGATAAGTCCACGTTTCCACTCAGACGGAAGTGTATGAGAATCAAATAGAAACTGGAAAAAGGTTGCAAGGTGGAGTTCCATGGTGGGTGCAAGGGTTTTAAGTACTTTCGGACAGATCTTGTCAATTCCCGGCGCACTATTTTCCCTGAGCGACTGTAATTTCTTTGCCACAGATGTAGGGCTAAAGTTGACCGTGGATAAGCCGACGACATTTGCTGGGATGTAGCAAGGCGATGGTTCCATAGTGTGTCTAGTCACTGAGACAAACTCCATGAGTAATCCGTCCGCGGTCTCCTCTCCAGTAACCGTTAGGCCATTGACCGTCTCTAGTGGTGGTATTTCCGTCTTAACCTTCCTTTTGTCATTCACATACCGGTAGAGCAGTTTGTGATTGCTAGTAAATTTGCGTACCATAGTTTCCTGCCATTCGTACTTGACAGCTTTAAGGAGTGAAGTGCAGTAGTTTCTGACTGTTTTGTAATGATTCCACGTGATATCACTTGGACCTAGCAAATGACCCCTCCAAGCCTCGTCTCGCCTATTCAACCACTTACGTGTTCTACTCCGGATCCAGTTGTTGCTCCGTCGCGAAACTCCTAATGGTACGTCATTTGAAGCTGATTGTAGGACCCAGTTTATTTTGCCTTTCAACACTTACCAGGCATCATTCGCCGAAGTGTGCATCCGCAGGTCCCAGTCAACGGTTGTCGCTATAGTGTGAAGCTTGGAATAGTTGGTGATGAATCGTCGGGTTTCTGGTTCTTTGTCAACCATACTGGCATAACACACATAATCAAACGTTAGAACTGAATGATCGCTAAAACCTAGCGGGGGGTTGTATGAAACCGACTCAACCATTAACTCCTCATTAGTCAGGATTAAATCAAGTATTGAAGGCTTGTTTGAACCGCGG